TTTAGTATTTGATTTTGCGTATACCGTATTGATGACTCCAAATATGAGCATATTCCTCACTTGAAAAAAGTACGTATTACTTGAATTTATGTATAAAAACTGTCACAATAACTTATTTATGGCATACTTTATTAATCTATCTCGCTTGGCATGATCCAAAGTTGGTTTGTTGAGATTATTAACGATTTTTGTCATTTTAAGCGGTGTTCTGAATCCAAAAAGCTAAGGCAGATAAAACGAGCGATAGTCATTTCCGCTCGCAAGCGATGACCCCATCACTCAGAAAAGCTAAGGCAAGAAAGGCAAGCGGTAGCTTCCACCGCTCACAAACGACAACCTCTACCGCTCGCAATCGACACTCCAGCACTCAGGTCAGCAACCAGACACCCACCGCAGCAAAGCGATGAAAACTCAACTCAAATATTGCCTAAGTGTCCCAACTGTAGCGGTACAGCCATTCTACTACCAGCCAGCACAAGCAAGCCCGCTTAACTGCCCTGATGCCCTCCAGTTATCCGGCAAGCGAGGAAGGTCTGCGCCCTTACAAGTCCACACAAGCGAAACAGACACCCTGGAAGTTATGGCCAGCAACTGTTTCAACAGAATAACCGTCACCAACTGCCTAACTACCTAGCGGTTGAAACCACTTTGTAACTGCTTGCAACCGCTACTTCCACCTACTATAAATAAGGCCAGATATCTGTATGTAAAATATACTTCGAGAGAAGTATACTAGCACTTATCTTTCGCGCACCCTAGCTGTCTTCCTATTTCCCGAGAGCTCCCAACCCTGTAAGGGAGTTCTCCACATGAATGACCAAGGGAGTTGAGATTTCACTTCTCCCTTGGCCACCACTTTACTGCTTACTTAGTTTAGTTTATTGCTTTAATTACAGTCTTTGTAGAATTAGAAATTTCAACTTTGGTAGTAAGTAATGAAATATCATTTTCTCTTCATTATCATTTCTTCCACACTTTTCACACTTATATAAACCCTAATTGTAAAGAATTTTTACTTCGCTGGTAAAGAGCACAGAAAGATTGTTTATCCAAGCCTTGTCTTTTGTCATAAACATATTCGAGGTAGTTCAATGTAGTTGAGTACGTGGGAGCCTTGTCGACCTGCTTAACTACTGGTTTGAATTCAATCTTGATAAAAAAGAGGTAACAAAAGGGTAAAGCCACTAATAAGGCAGAAATTGGGATAATTAATGGGGCATAGGCGGTGGTCTATGAGTCGCAGAAACTCCTAGTGACAGTAGGGTTTGTTTTTTATAATGTTCTAATTATGAGCGTCATTAAAGTCTTGTTGTAAATTCCTTAAGGTCAAGTACCATCGATAAAAGTTCTATATAATCTGGTTTATATATTTACATCATCTCCTTCCCCCGCTTCCGTATTATACATATATGTTCGCTTAAACACCTACACCGCTTGCTCACTTCCTCCACGAAAACCTAGCCATTGAGTAATGCACAGTTCAGACACAACACCTCGTCTTCAATCTCTACCGCTCAATCTATATACATATATGTTGTGCCATCTGCCCGTGTCTCTCTCGCTCATCCATCGCTGGCACCTTGCCCGCTAACCACGCTTCGCTCACCACCGCTCTGCTCTTTACCGCTTTCCTTTCCAGCTTTCTTTAGATTAAAATTTAGACCCGTTTCGAAGCGGGTCCTTTTACTGCATTTCCACCGCTTTTATGAGATCAATACTTGACTTAAATTCGTGACTTAAAATCCCTGTGTTCGACTTGGAAACTCACCAATCAAAGAGTATACATAATTATAATAACAATTCAGGATCTACAACCACAATTTTTTACTATATCTTATCGCTTTCAATAATTCATTACATCTCAATATTCGAACAAAAATCCCCTGTAATTAACTATATACATCAAATTTAGTTATCACGTATTTTACAAAAAGTATGGAAATATCTTGTGTTTTTATCACCTTTACAAATTCACATATTCCTTGATATTTGTTTCCATGAGCTCTTCAATTAAGTGAGTCCACCATAATTCTTTTCTCTTAATCTAGCAGCTTTCCACGAGGCTTTCGTCACCAGGGCTTTCTTCTAAAAGTCGTTCAACATGTTCCAACTCTTTTTTAACGTGTTAATTGGCATCTTTAAACCTCCACCACGATAACCTTCCCACATTTTGATGACATTTTTTAGATCTGATAATTTTTTCCCAAAATCTCTATTATTCTCTCTTACTGCTAACTGATCCCCCCACTCTGCATTCATTTTCCTAGAAAAATACTTATCCAATATCCAATAGTTAAAGAATCGAAAAGGTTTTGGACACCATTCTATAAGTCCCACATCCAACGTAATCGGTATATGATCGGACAGACAATTCTCTCTACTTTTTTGCACCAATCATCTTTTTTCCAATATCCAATCGACACTCAAAAGAAATCTATCTAACCGAGAATGAGAGCAGCCTCTATTTCCATACCATGTAAATTTTCTACCTACCATCAGTAGGTCTACCAGCTCCATTACATTAATTAAATCCATAAAGTCTTCCCTAGACCTTTAATCATCACTGCTACCAATTCTTTCATCCTCATGTAGACTAGAGTTAAAATCACCACCATCATCTAGCCCCTTGGACCCGTCTTTGTTTCAAACATTCTCAAAGACACCTTCTATCATTGATTTCATTTGGGGCATATACAGTAACCAGATTAAAGAGTTCTACTTTCCCAACTCGACATCCTTTTAGCCAGATAAAATTTTGGGTAATTTTCACAATTCCCAAATACAGACTTAGGATCCCAACAACATAACAGCTGCCAATCCAGCCGAGCTCCCACAGTACTTCATTAATCCCTGTCCACATATCTCCATAATAAGTTATTTTGTATAACATTGCATCTTTGACTCTTGAATAAACAACATATCAGGCAACTCTAGCCTCATTAACCTTGCTAGTGCCCATTTTTTTATACTACCACCCAAACCCCTTGCATTCGAAAATATCAATTTCATAATACAACACAACAACACACTTTAAAAATACTCATTTGGCTATCTCTTTTCTTCCACCATCGCCTAATAACAATCGCATAGGAATCCCTCCACATCCGCTACCTCTACTCCTAGCTGGTAAGCTAGATCAACTGTTGCTTGCGCTTATGCTCTGTTTTCCTTCTCTACTAGATTATTCTCTCTCTTGGCCCCATTGTTCTCCTGGATAACAGACTTTTCAATTACCTGATGATTATCCTTATTCTCCAAAGACCCCACCTCTTGTATAACCACTTTCTCCTCAATCAGCTCCTTAGCATCGAAGTTCGGCCTAGTCTCCCAAGGTGAATTAGGCCGTGAACCTATGTTACCTTTCTGAATTCATCCTACATACCTTGGTTGATCTCCTTTAATGGCTTTATTCTTCTTATCACTTTCCAAATACTTTCCTTCCACTTCAATCTCCCTTGAACCTGGTTGTCTCAACGTGCAAATAAGGATTTCCCTCTGATTCGGATTCGCCAACCCCGAGCTCTCAATTGATTTCAGTAGGATGTTTTGCATTTTGCTCTCTAGCTCTTCCCTCAGAGCCAACTTTATCCTCGATCAGGTCGCAATTGACCTTTAGATTTGTTACGTCTCTAAAACTATTTGAAGACCATATATTCTCCCCTGACAACTCACTTCCCAGCAACTTACTACTTTCTTCCCCGGGATAGCAAAATTTTTTTTTCCCGACTTAATTCTTCTTCTTTTTTGTTTGAATGTGTTTCGTTTTCTCGTAGTAACCTATCTAGAGTCACCTACCTCCAGCCAGAGGCACTCTTCCTTCTCTGAAAGTTCCTTTTCAGTATTGTCCTTTTTACCCTCTTTATTCCTTATATCATCCTTCTTCCCAGGGCTTTGGAATCCCAACTCAAACGGCCACTTTTTTCCAAGATTCAATTTACGTGATCGACCATAAGGATCTTCCACTTCCGGACCCTGAACTGCTCTAATGATATTTTCCTCCATATGGTCCTCTTTATGAAGTGACGTACTTATGATTTTTTCTTTCAACGGATTCGCCTACGCTTAGGCATCTCAACACTCCCGAATTATCCAAATGATCATCTACCTCAATGACGCCCTATGCATCCTCCACCTCCAGAGACAAAGTGTATCTCTCCCCTTCTACCACCACGTACCATACTTTTGGCACTCTCATTTTTTTACTTATGAGCACTAAGATTTTAGTCTTAATATTTTAGAATTTGAATTTAATTTAAAAAAACCTAAATAAATTATTTTGTGTTTGATTTGGAGTTTAGTAAATTATTAATAATAAGTTATGATAAATAATTTAAAATATATATTTAAATATTTTTATCATTATATTTCAATAAAATATATACTATAATATAAATATTATTTTGTACATAATAATATAAATAAATAAATAAAAAATATTTATTTATTTATAATGAACTTAAAGTAGTTTAATAAAAAATAGGAAGTTATAAATATAAGTAAAAATATTTCTTAATTGAGAAGAGAGATAGAAAAAAGATTTTGGATAAGAGACTACAATTTAATTAAATTAATTTATATTTATTAACAATGTTTATAATGAATAAATTTACTAAAAATAAAAAATATAAAAAAAAGAAATGAGTTAGTTATAACGGGACGGAGGGAGTAATTAAGTAGCACGGTGCTGATTATGAGTAATCGAACACTGACCTTTCTCATAAACAAAGTAAAGAGATAACAAACTATTCCCTCCTAATTGACACCTCCTTCATTTTTGTATGTCTCATAATATACACTTTTTAATTTTGGTAAAATTTATTAAATCTAAATATTTTAAAAAATATAAATCAATTTAATTAACTACTTAATATATTATACATCAGGTAGAATCCATTCAAAACTTCTTTCTTTCTATTTTTTTGTTCAAAAAATAAATAGTTTTTATCTATATTTAAAAATTTAAATATATATTCTATTTTTTTATTTAAATATAACTTTTTTAATCTCATTTCACACGAACACAAAACAAACTTTTACCAATATTCATCCAAACTTTTAGCAAAACAATCCTCCGGAGAGGGGAAAAACACAAACGAACGTGACAGATGCTGACAAATAGCAGAAACATGTCATGCCGCAAAAGTCAGCGACAGTCGCGCCGCCGCCGACTGCGAGCTCCCCAGCGTCGGCTTACTGCTGCGCCCCCTCGCCGGAATATTCTGGCTTCCCTCCGCCGGGGAGCATTTCACCGGCTGCGGCCCCACGCTCACCGCTTTCTCCTGCCGGCAGCTCATCAGCAGCAATCCTCCGCCGCCGCCGTTCCCTTTTTTCTTCCCACCCTCTCCGCCGCCGCCGCCGACGATTGGATCGTCTTGCATCCGATAACGGAACATTCTAGCGGCTCCGATTTCGGAGGCGGAGAAATTGGATACGCTGGCCTTGTCGAATCCGTCGGCGGTGGTTACGCTCCAATCGATGCTGACTTCGCTCGGCGCGTAGCACTCAGTCGCCGCCACGCTCGGCGTCGGCGGCTCGTCCAGGCTTCTCCGGCCGAACTGATTGCCGCCGCCGTTGTCGTTCAAGTTAAGGCCATTCGCCTCCGCGAATCTTCTCGCGCTGAAAGGCGCCGCCGGCGCCTCGTCCAGAGAATCCCGCCGGCGGTACGGCGGCGGGAACGGCGTCGTTTGAGTCGAGAAGCTCTCGATCTCGAATAGATCGGAGCTTGCATCGCTGCACATGTCGTCGTCGCCGCCGGCGATCGGACATCCAGATCGGCTTCCGATCCTGTCGATCGACAACGGAACGACGTCGTCTATCGGCCGGAAAACTTCCAACGAATCTCGCGGCGGATCTTCCGGCGGAGGAATCACGGAATTGTTGGTTTGGGAATTAGGGTTTAGGATTGGAAACGAAAATCCGGCGGAAGCCGATACACGAAGCTGCCGCGGCGCATTCGCCGCCGGGAATCTGTTTTCCGGCGACAATCTGATCGGAATCGGAGCTTTAATTTGGGCTTGGTTGATTTTCTGCAGAATCTCCGATGTGCCGGAATTACAATCGCCGGCGCCTTTTGCTCGGTAAGAATAATCCTTTCTGTAATCATTTTTCCCATTCCGGCCGTCTTCTTCGTCGTCGTTTTTGTTCACGGCGGCGATCACAGGCCCCAAATTTTCGGAATCCATTGCTGCCTCCTCAACCTGAACCGATTTCTTACCAGTGCAGCAACACTTCCTTCCAAAAATCCATTTTCCGGCGGCACAAGGGTTTCTTTTTTTCATTTCAACAGTAGCCATGGAAACGCCGCCGTAGCCCGGCGGATTGGCGAGGAGGCCTGTCTGGCTGTTCCAGCTGGCCTCCGACGAGGCCGTCGGCGTGGCGTAGAAAGACCTGGTTCTGAAATGCCGGCCGCCGTAGCCTTCAACGGAAGAAACCGACGGCGAGGATTGCGTGTTGTGAGATGGACGGTCGAGATTGCGCCGGTGGTTCAGTACAACTAATTCAGCGTTATCGTTGAAATATTTGTGCGCATCAAAAATGCTTATTTCAGAATCATCGAGGCGGCGTTTGGTTGGATCTTGTATGGCGGAATTATTTTGGGAGAACGATTTGTAATGGAGATTAGGATTTTGGGAAACACCAAACATGGCGTGCTGGGAAGTAGATGAAGGATTGTACTCGACATTTTTCACTATTGATGGTGGATCCATAAACACAGTCACAACACACACCCCTAAACTCTACAGACGAACCCTTTTTTATAAAATAAATAAATTAAAATAAAGTAATTGAAAAATTTGGGGCTAATTTCTCAACAGTGAAGTCTAATAAATAAATTAAATTATCATGGAATTGTCACGGAAGAGGTTATGTACCTTATTTACGTGTTAATTACTATTGTCGCAAAAGACTAGAAAAAGTTGCAACAACATTAGTATTGATTGTCACGTCTTTTTACAACAACATATATTAGTTGTTGCGGATGACAGCAACAATGAAAATATTTATTGTCTCGGCTTTTTGCAAGAAAATAATATTTACTTCACAGATTTTACAACAATATAATTATTCATTATCGCGGCGTTTTGCAACAATGAAATAGTAATTGTTGCAACATTTGTCGCAATTTTCCGCAACGATGAAATAGTAATTGTTACAACTTTTGTCGTAACTTTCCGCGACGATGAAATAATAATTGTTGCAACCTTCGTCGCTACCTTCCGCAACAATGTAAGTATTAATTATCGCAACCTTCTGCAACCATGTATCAACAATATAAATAATAATTGTTGCAACATTCTGCAATAATATAAATAATAAGTTTTTTACAATATTAAGAATTATTTTTTGCAATTTTATTGGATAAAAATATAAAGTATTTTAGAGCAATCAAATAAACAATAATATAATATATATATATATATATATGATATTAACAAAAATATATGCATACCTCATCTAATTTTTGGTTCATTGTTTGCAAATGTTCTTTAACTTTTAAAGACTCTTCCATTGAAACTATTTCCGAGGACGAGCCCGATGAAGAATGTTGTGACAAATAGAAAAAATTAATTTATAGTATATTTTTTGTCGGAAATAATTTTCTTTAAAATTATTGACGCAAAAAATTGTATCAAAATTGGAAACAATAAATTTATTTCCTATCTGTTACGGCCTTCTGCGACAAATAGGAAAAATTAATTATTGTAACAAGAATTGTTGTAGCAGTCCGCAACAATTAATTTATATATAATTTTTGTTAAATTTCCAGTAGAAATTGTGACAATAGTTCATTCTATAACAAAACTTTTGGGCAATATCATTATTTTCTAGTATTTTTTCCAAATATTTTGCAATATTTTTAAAATCTGAAATAATTAAATATATTTAATCTCTACTCGGTACTTTATCTTATCACATCACATCACTTAAATAAATATACATTTTTCTCTTTCATCGTATATCTCAATTCTCAAATTATTCTATTTAATACTCTCTCCATCCCGTGAAAGATGAATCCTTTTGTTAGGAATACGATATTTTAGGTAGCGTAGGTTATTAAGTTATTAATAATAAGTTATAAAAAAACTTTATTATTTTTTTATATGTGTAGTGTTGTTGGTATTTTAAATATCTTTAGAATTATATTTCAATAAAATATATACAATATGGAAATCATTTTCTACACAATAAAATTTTATATAATACAAATGAATAAAAAAATATATTTATTTATTTATCATTACTATAAATTAGTTTTATAAAAAATGAGGAATTTTAAAAATAGATAAAAATATTTGTTAATTGAGGAGAGATAGGAATAAAGGGGTTTTGAGTGGTCCTATGTGTAATATGTTAGAAGTTTAATTAAATTGATTTATATTAATTAAGTATATTTAAGATTAATAAAGTTATCAAAAATGAAAATAGGTCATCTTTTGTGGGACGTATCAAAAAGAAAATAGAATCATCTGTCCAAAACAAATGTTGCACTGTGTTTATAAAGAAAAAAAAATTATTTTTACAAAAGCTGAAAGATAAAAAAAAAAAAAAAAAAAGAAAAAAACAAACAAACAAACTTCAAATATTTATTAAAAAAAATAAAAAGTGAAATGTTTAATTTAAATAATATATTTTATATTTTTTATACAATTTTTTATATTATTCACACCGAAAAATCAATTCATCTAAAAATGCTAAGATAAACGGAACCATAATTTATGCATAATTCTCTAACATTTCTTCAAATTTTTAATATGAAATAATTGTTGGAAGAAATATCAAAATATGAAATAATTGTTCGAAGAAATATTTGATATGAAATATTTTATGTGTCATTCAAATATTTTTATCCACTTTTTAAATTTTTTTTTAATTTTGTGTCCACTTTTCATAATTTTTTATTTATTCATTTTTACTATTGAAGTGTGAATTTGTATAATGAATATAATATATATTTGTTTGTAGCTTTTGTCATATATTTTATTTTGCATTAACTTTTTACATATTAATATTTAAATATTAATTATTATATTAAAATATAAATATAAATTAAAAGATAAAAATTATTAATTATTAATGTAACATATGCTATATAGATTATCTATTGTCCTACGTTGCATTGTGTTTAACCTAAATTATGCCATCTATATTTTTATTTATTTATTTATTTTTGATTTGGGAAGCGATCTATGTCTTTATTGTACTAATAATTAATACTATATACTAAGATCAAGAGTGATATTTGTATAAAATATTATCCAGTATTATTAATTTATGTATTAAATTATGTTATATTAACATAAATATAAATTATTTATGTATTATATATTATCGGTATATACTGGATATGTTATGATCAATAGCATATTGAATAATATTATTCGACATGGTAACGAAGCCTAAAAAGAGATTATTGAATTAAATAACATAACACAAGATTAGAAATGGATAAGTAGTTGCAATCCACAACAAAATACTATAACACAACAATGTATAATAATATATATAGGATTTCTTTGCCCAACCAAAATTTTTCTTCTCAATTAATATTATAGGATATATAATATATACATACATTTACAAGTGAGATGGGAGGGGCCAACTCAACGAATTCAACCCGCATTAACGTTTCTAGTGTAAAGTACTCCTGGAATTGGGCTGGTGCTAGACCAACTTCTGTGTATAGATGAGTCGGTGTTAAGGTTGAATAGAGTTTAAATTAATTTAATAGATTATTCATATCAATAATATACATAAGCGTCTTCAAAGAGCCAGTTTGGGATCTTGTCACTAGGATACTATGGGTGACAAAAATAATCACGGCCCGAAAGTCCGATCCAAATACGGTACAAAAAAATCGTGCTTAAACATCCAAAAATAGGCCCAGAATTTTTTAGGTCGTGCTTAGCCCCGCACGTTAATGAATCGTGTCGTGCCTGGCCCGACCCGTTTTATTAAAATTAATATTCTATATTAAATATTTATATATATATTAACTAATAAGATAATAAGATAAATTAAATAATGGTTTGATGGTAAAGTTTAGGAAGGTACGAAAATAATTGGATCTGCTTGAAATACCACTCTTGCCTAATACGTTCGACTTTGTGTGGTTTACCGGTTAAAGTGTCATATATACGGCTTTTGGCTAGGATAAAAGATAGTATAAATTTAGCATTGATACGGAATTAATTATTTTGATTAAATCCAAATTTCTTAAAATTAGACAGGTTAATTTTTTACAACAAAACATATCTGATGTTGAAATTGAATATAATCGGAATATGATATTATCGAATTCAATTCAGATATCAAATCTAACAATATCTATTCAAGTCCGGCGAAACCCGAGTCATTGTTATTCCCGAACACTCCAAAAAATTGGCTCTGTTTACACAACACATTTTCACTAATTTAGTACTATTCATTTTTAAAAAATCATTACATAAAACATATATTTTCTCTCACAAAATATTAAATTAAATACTAACTTTTTACTTTTGTCTAAACTTCCAAAAACTTTTAAAAACCCCTCTAAACAAAATAATCTTAGAAAAGTAAATCAAAGGAAGAAATAGTGTAATCTTATGATGGGGACCTCCTTCGACACACTCTTTAACAACAAGATAGCAAAAGATTCTCTACCGCCTCCAATCTTCGGTCACCACTTTGCCACGTCATCATCTCCTTATTTTCTACAACTACTAATAACTTTTACACACACATCTTCATTAATATCCAATAATAAATATTGCATGTGCTAATATATTGAAGTAATGTTTAGATAAAGTAATTTTATTATTATTTTTTTCATTGGAGGTTTGAAAATAATAATAATAACAACAAAAGGTTAATTATTTAATACCATATTTTATGGAAAAAACAAATATATTTAAAATGATATTTTAAAATTTTTATTATTGATAAATAATATATAATTATTTTTTTTTTCAAAAAATATGAATAATCGAATCGTATATTATTTATTTATTTAATAAATTGATAGTACGGCTGCGAAATTGCGAAACATGCCCTTGATTGGACGTGTATGGATGGCTCTGCATTACATTTCAAATAAATTGGAATTAAAAGCTCAACTCCAACTGCATTATATTGTCGTGTCGTCAAATGGCTTTTATTTATCTAAAACTATTTTAAATTTTATTTATTATGTGATTTTTATTTTTTATTAAATTAGAGTAAATACAATAATTTATTTATGAAAATTGATATTTAATTGTAAATAAGCATTTGATTATGCACGCTTTTATAAATATTAATTTCTTGTTATGGAATATCACATTAAATATTTCATTTTTAATTTTAATTTTTTTTTTTCAAAATTACAAAATTTTATTTAATTTTTATTTTAAACACAAACCAAATACACTCTAAAATTTCAAGAACTATACGAATTGTTAAATATAGATATCTATTTTGTATTATTTATTTTACTGTAATTCTGAATTGATGCGAATGCACCTTTTATGAGAGTGGGGTCACAGGACCCCACTATGATATATATATATATATTAATTATTTGTTTTTCTTTTAATTAACATGTCCAAAATATAAATTTTAATTATATACTCCATTCATCCCTTAACAATCTATCTATTTTTTCATTTTAGTCTGTTCCATAAAGAAGTATCCGTTTCTTTTTTTTTTTTTTTTAGTAATTATACTATCTATCTAACATTAGAAATACCCTTCTAATTTACAATATATTACACAAATGCTATTACTTTTATATCATACAATACTAATAGGG